GTTGGTCAGTGCTTGAACTGTTTGATTAGCGACAATATCAGATTTTTTACATTCTCTACCTTCAGAGGTAATTAATGTTTATTTTGAAATAATTGACATTTTTTCCTATGAGTGTGTTGACGATTTGAAATAAAATGGTCTGAGTGAGGTCATTTTCCCTTGTGTTTAGAGGAGGCAGAGATAATATATACATCCAGGAGTAGAAAACAGGAGAAATTTAATTCATCTCTTTTTTTTCTTTCTATCTCTATGAATTTATTTTTCTGCCTCTCTCCTCCTTTTTTCACGATGACACTCTGTCTCCTTTCATTTATTCATCCATCAGATATCTATTGAGAACTATTCTATGGGAAAATAGTTATGGACTAGGTAACAATAGGCCTTTAACCTTGTGGAAGACTCTATTTACATCCAACTGTAGGAGCTTGTGATGATGGACAGTGTAAATTCTCATGCTTAGACCTCAAGAATTTGATTCCCCTTGTTACTTTCTAGCACTTACATGATTCTAGGCAATTTGGTTATCTTCTTTATGCTCTAGTTTCTTCAAACAGAATATGGGGATTATAATAGTATCTACTTGTGTTAGTCAGCTTTTTGTCTGTGACCAAAATACTTAACAAGAACAACTTAGAGGGAAAAAAAGGGATTATTTTAAGCTCATGTATTCAGAGGATTCAGTCCACATTTGGTTAGCTTTATTTCTCTTGTCCAGAGGTGAGGCAGAACATCATGGCCGAAGGGTGTGACTGAGGAAATCTGCTCAGCTCATGAAAGCCAGGAAGCACAAAGAGAGAAAAGCCAGGGACAAGATATAGTTTCCCAAGTCATGCCCCCAGTGACCTACTTCCTTCAGCCATGCCCTCCTTCCTACAGTTACCAGCCAGTAGTCCATTCAAATGATGAATCCATCAGGTGCATTAATTCACTGAGGAGAGAATAGCTCTCACCATTGCCTAGAAGTGCCACCTCTGAACTTTGCTGCATTTGGGATCATGCTTTCAACACCTGAACTTCTAGGAATATATCCTAGACCTAAACCATAACACTACGTAAAAGAACGGTAACGGTGGTGATTTTTTTTTTTTTTCATTCTAAATCTATTTACATGTAGAATACAAATCTTTCTGACGGGACTATGCCCACTATGTATATCAGGTGATAAATGACAATGTAAGAATACACAAAAATTCCAAAATTATATCCAGGTATTTCCAATAATATTTCCAATGTGACTTTTAAACATTTTACTCTTTTAGAAAAGTTAACATGCCCAATCGATTTTTAGCAATATAAGGTCTCTAGATAAAATCTGAAAGAATAATAAAGTGATACCTTATTAACACAACTCACAAACACACACAACTTTTCCCCCAATTGCTTGTGTAATCTCTAGAGACCTGACAGTCAGTCATTGAGAATCAGTGACCCTACTCAACTACTAAAAATTGACCGGATCACAGCTCAAGATGGTATCCTTTAGAAACATGGTACTCTTTTTTTTTTTTCTTTCTTTTCTAACTATTCTTCATACAAATGTTTCAGTGAAATTCTCTAAGTTTCCACATCTTTCCTTGAAAGTTTTTAATGTTCTGTATGATTTTGAAGAATGGATTGCATAGACAGGCAGTGATCTTTCACTGAGTCCTGTGCCCTGGACAGTCATACAGGGTAAGAAGCACCCCCACCCCATTCTTTTATGTTCTGGGGCAGGATTAATCTTAAAGGACTATGCCTTCCAAAATCTGAGGCTGGATTCTCTCTCTTCCAGCCTTTCATAAGACTTATTTTTTTTTTTGCTTCATCTGAATGATTTGTTCATCTCTATAAAGGGAATTAATGGTTTACAGAGATCTTGTCTGTGTTGAGTGATAAAGGACAGAGACTCTAGCTTATTGGTCTTTTCTGTTAGCTTATGTTGAGCTAAAGTAAATTAAGAATTCATTGAGAAGAAAGCACCTCTTTGATATGGATCCATGTATTTTGTATTTGTGTTATGTATGCCAGAAATGTGTGACTGAAATTTTAGAACAGAGACTCTACACTATCTGTATCTGTATCTATGTATTTATGTGTCTGTAATTCAGAGAAGTCTTTTCCTTTATCACATGAATGTACTATGTTTCCTACACCTGGAACTGATTAATTAGATTTTTAAATCCTTTACTGGAAAGAGTCTCTATTGTGATTGCTAGGAGATAAGAAGGTATCTATATACTCTCAGAAATTAAGGAAACTGCATCTCAATAATTTCCAAGGGAAAAGAAAAGGTACTCTCATAAAAACTAATTCAGAAACATTTAAAAATTCATATTTTCATAATTTAGGTAAAACTTCAGCACATAAACCCGTCTTAAAATTCTGTTTGAATATAAAGAACTATGTTTTCTATGAATTATCATATTTATAAGCATAATACAAATACACATTTTAATTCTACTTGGTATGTTCTCTCTGAATTTATAAGTTTACTAATAAAATAGACTACTCATTTATTGTTTAATATTTTGGAATTTTATTTTGGATGTAACCATCTTAAATCATTATTCTAAAAGACTCAATTGAAATGGTAACTATATTTTCTGTATATAAGTTTGAATATAATTTTCAACATCTTCAGGCAATTTAAAATTTCAGACTATTGCTAAATTGAGCCAATTAAAGGGTATTCATTAGGTTATATCTAAGTAATATAGAACAGTAGGCCTTACTTTTTATAAGCATAATTTAAAGCTTATCTATTTTATGCCTCTTATGGTAAAGAGATGCTATCTCTGCATATATTTGTGAGTATTAATGAGTTCATTTTTGCCTTTTTGAGAAATTGTACTATAAGACACGTGCTTTTGTTAATGAAAAAAAAGAGATTATAGCTTCACAAGTGAAATAACTGATAGTTCTAGAATGAAAAATAAGAAAGTTGAAGAAAAGACCTAAATGAACATAGAAAGTTGCAGGAATATTATAAAAATTTTTTCTGTTTTGGTCAAAGCTGGCCAAAAAGTTTATAGCAAAGATTTTCAAAAAGAATTTGCATTTACATTTCTTCCTACCATTACTTATCCCCTAACCCTACTTTATCTCCATGGTATTTATTATCACCTCTCTTATTTATTTTTTGCTTATTCTTGGGCTTTGTCCATTGGAACTTAAAACCTTTTAGTGGAGGGACTAGAGTCCCCACTATGTTGGAAAGAAGACTGGAAAATAATATTGGTTGAATAAATAAAATATTGGTTGAATAATCAGATTTTTTAAATGCTCATTGAAGGACACCGTGCTAGAAGACTGTAACAGTTTACTGAACATGACTCTGGTCTTGAATGAAGAAGTAGACCAGAGGAAGAAATATGGTTCAGGGCATAGAGTACTTTTATAGTTTGGATATAAGGTGTTTGCAAGGGCTGAAATGATTAGCTTATGAGAGTTGTGATCTAATCAGTGGGTTAAATCCATTTGATACATTAATAATTTGAGTAGACTGTAAGTATGAGCAGGTAGGGTGTGATTGACAATGTAGGCCACTAATGGGTATGCCCTTGGGGTCTACATTGTGTCCCTGGCAACTTGCTCACTCTTTCTGAAACCAGGCTACCATCAGCTGAGCAATGTTTCTCTGGTTTGTCTTCCAAATCCTTTGCCATGATGTTCTGCCTTGGACCCAGAATGATGGAGTCAGCCTGCCATGGTGTATACTACTCAAACCCCGAGCCAAAATAATTTTTTATCCTCTATGTTTTTCTTGTCAGATATTTTGGTCACAGCAACAAACACTTGTCAACACAAGGAGAGATCTTTACTTTTCTTCAGAGAAGTAAAAAAATGTTTCACAGAAATACCTGTGCATGAATGTAGGAACATCAAGAATGTAACCAAATAAGAGGGAAGTTCTAGGGCATCATGTTGAAATGCCAAAGAACAGTGTATATAAAGTGCATCAAGTGTAATGCAGAAAAGAAGCCTGGATATTGTTTCACATCTTTACTGAATATTTACTTTATACTGCACCCCCCCACCACCACACACACAGTGCTAAGCTTAGGAGGGCTACCCTCAATGACACAGAATAGTAGGAGAAATAGACAAAAAGGTAGATGTTTACAAGTTAGTAAAAGTGTGCAGTTAATTGTGGCAAAGCCTAACTATTACTATCATAACACCTTAACAACTCTGTTCCCTCCTGGGAAGAACCTGACCTTGGGAAGTTGTCCTAATAAGCTGCTCAGAGTAGAAGAAAAGAAACTGAAGACTCAGGTACCAGTAGGAACTAAGAAACGGAAGTTGATGGTGATGCTGCCTTTTAGGAAACAAGGGTAGAAAATAGTTCTTTTCCTGAGAAAGGCATGAAAGGAGAGAAAAGATGATGAGAGAAAAGATGAAGAAATAGAAACTGGGTTATTTGTGGGCAATTGCTAGTTACGTCTAATGTGAGCCAATGGAAATAAAAAATTAAGTACGCAGATGACTAATATCCAGTTTGAAAGTGTGAATATTTTTTTTTCTTCCCACAAATCTTAAGCAACATACCTTTGATTTAGTGATGATTCATGTGAATGGATTTTGCAATAAAACAAAGGAGTCAGACCGGGAAGGGACTCAGCACGGTTCAAAAACAGCCCTGGTGACAGCAGGAGGGCCATGAACACAAAAATAAAAGCCCTTGGGAAATGCCAAGGTTTTAGAGTTTCAGGAACTTGAAATCAGCATGAACAAAGAGCTTCTTGAATAAGTTTCAAGGGACAGACACCACCCCTTGCTTTCCTGGTTATAGGAAATGTTCATTTCTTATGGCTGCTAGTGTGGAGACCCAGAAAGACAGGGTTCAGGTGCAGAGCAAGGCAAGAACCATCAACGATGGCACACTAAGGATGTCCTAATGAGATGAGTTTATCAAATTGCCAGGACTGGAAGTAGGGGAGAGGGAAAAGAATTCTAAAGAAAAACAAATTGTAAATGTTTAAAATTAGCAAACAAAATAGTAAAAGTTAGATGGCTTTTAGGATGAAGAACTCAGGAAGAGCCCGATACTGATTGCACACCAAACACCTGCCGTGCGAAATATCAGGTACACTTTCTGCTTTATTTTTTGCATTGTTTACTTGCATACCATAAAAATTCACTACTTTCCACATATAGTTTTATAAATTTTGCAAATGAATATGGTAACCACCACCAATATTGAGAGGTACAACTTTTGATGACCTCAAATTTATTTTGTGCCCATTCGTAATCTCCCCCTTCCAACAACCCCCACCGTTAGCAACACTGACTTGTTATTTCTATACTTTTGTGTTTCCAGCATGTCATAATAACAGTTATACAGTGCACTGTCTTCTGCATTTGTCTTCTTTCACTTAGTAGAATGTATTTGAGTTTCACCTATGTTGTGCATAGCAACTATTATTATTATTATTTTGGTACTGGGGATTGAACTCAGGTGTGCTTAACCCCAGAGCCCCATCTCCAACCCTTTTTTATAATTTATTTAGAGACAGGGTCATGCTGATTTGCTTATGGTCTTGCTAATTTGCTGAGGCTGGCTTTGAACTTGTGATCCTCCTTCCTCAGCCTCTGGAGCTGCTGGGATTAAGAAGTGGAATAATTACTTTATATTGCTGAATAATGTTCTATTATATGAATGTACATAGTTGTTTATTCTGGTGAGAAGGACATCTGGATTGTTTCTACTTTTGGACAATTAAAAGAAAATCGCCATAGGAATTGCTGTGTGAACATAAATGTTCATTTCTCTTGGATAAATTTTTATTTCTCTTGGAATAAGAGATGTTGATTTTGTGGTACTATGTTCCAATATATGAAATTTTCTTAAACTTTTTTTTTCCCTTTTTTTTTTCTCCTATGCTGGGGATGGAACTCCAGACCCTGTACATATTAAGGAAGTCCTCTAGCACCGAAACACACTCCCAGCCCTATCTTTTATATCTTGATCCCTGACTTCTAATGCAGAATTACGAAAGAATCAATTTGTTTGTTTAAGCCACAGAGTTTGTGGCAATTTGTTATGGCAGTCCTAGGAAACTGATGCTGTTATTAATGATGCTGAGCATCTTCCCATGTGTTTGTCTGCCATCTCAACATCTTCTTCATGGTGAAGTCTCTCTAGAGTTCATCTATGTTAATTAAGGTTTTATGTTGTTGTTGTTTTGTCTTTTTAATATAGATGTGTAATTTTTCTAATACCTTTTGTTGAAATTATATTTTATACTTTGATTTTTCATAGCAACTTTGTCAAAAATCACATTTCCATATTTAGAAATATAGATGTACTTCATTGTTCTGTCTGGATCCTTACAATTACTATAGTTTTAGAATAAACTTTGAAATCAGTCCTATAGAAGTTTTTTTTTTTTTTAATTTTCACAATTGTTTAGACATATTAGTTCCTTTTACTTAACAAATACATTTTTAAGACTTAGCTTTTATTCTGTGAAATAATTCTACTGGAATTCTGTTGAGAATTGCATTGAATCTATATCAACGTAGGGAGAACTAATATTTTCATAACATTGAGTCATTAAATCTACCTTTGAGTTATACCCCTAGCACCCAGGATGCTGTCTCCTATTCCTCATTTTCTGAGACTTCTCATCACAGATATTACACTTTTCATCTATCTTGTCTAAACTTAATTTTTACACATCTACTGTCTTTCTGCCTATATTTCAGTGTATTTTTTTTCTGGTTGCTCTAGAGACTAAACTTTATGGATACAGCTACTCATTTATACCCATGCAAAGTTAATATTTTACTAATTCCAATAAATTTTTTTTTAAAAAAATGTGAACATTAGGTTCTATAGAATATATTCTTCCTCCTTCATAGTTTGGGGGGTGTGTGTGTGTGTGTGTGTGTGTGTGTGTGTGTGTGTGTATT